ATAAATATTCAAAACTAAGCGGATTAAAATGTGCACAGTAAAGACATTAAATGATTAAATCTTTTCACTACCAACCAATGCACTACGAGTGCCCTTGTCGGTCATTTTGGCCAGCCAATCACTTACCGTGGTGCCCTGCGGGTAGGTTACTGTACCGCGGGTTTTTACTGCGCATTTTGAATGGCTGCATCTGTAGGTATTCATACCATGTAAAATTATCTTCTTTGCTCCAAACAAATTCTGAATGGAAGAGTGATGCATAATTGGAAACAATTAAATAGAATAAATACATTTATATTTAACATAAATATGCCATTTCATAGTCAAGATTATATTTGGGAAAACACCATGCCCAGTACATCAATAATCTTCTCTTAAGTCATTATGTACTATCACTCATCATTCCTGTGTAGTTTTATTGTACATTGCAGTGATCAGTGACTCACCACAAATGTACATCTGAGAAATACACTCACCTTTAAAACCTAGGTTAATAACAGCTTCATCCTCCATCAGCTTAGACCTCACCAAGCATGTGTACTGTCCAAGGTCAGAGAGTCTCACATCTCTCAGTGTTAAAGACACATTGCCTCTGTGGAGCTCCTGCAGGAATAGACCAGCCCTGTCCCTGTAGGCTGGGTTCTGTTTAACAAGGTCATACTGGTGTGATTCATACAAACAACTAAGGTCATGGTAATTCTTTTTAAACCACCTGATCTCTAGGTCCTCAGCACTGCTGGCTGGTGAGAGGTAACAGGGCAGGACAGCATCTTCACCAGGGGACACAGCTACAGGAGCAGCTGGACCATGAACCTCAAACCTCACTGAAAGAGAAAGAGCACAGCTGACATGAGTCTTCAACCTCAACACAGACAAACACTCTGAGACAAACTGTAGACTCATCACTGGCAGAATAAAGCAGAGCAGCTCAGTGACACACAGTGTTTTCTACAAACAGCCCATCACTGATTCAGACCCACATGTGACCGAGGAGCACTGAAGATCAGTGAGTCTCATCTCACCATCTGCTCCTCTTCGTCACACCAGTGTTTCCCAAACTGGGGTCCGGATCTCTCACCCAGGACCCTCAGATCCTCACCTTCACTCCCTGATAGAAGAGCTGTGACTGTGTTCACTGAGGGTCTGTTACTCTGCAGTGACAGTAGGGGGTTAAATCATGCTCTTTATCTGTGTCTCTCTCTGCTCTCTGGTC